TATTCTCACAAACTTGTATGGCTTTAACGTGCCATACTTAAGCTATTTTATTCATATTTTAGTGTCATATTTTAGCTGAAAAACTTGAGAAGAAATAACAAGCTGATTCGATTCAATGTGGTTTCACTGTTCAGGACTCGAGGCTTAATTTTCCCGATAAGTTGTTTTCGGCTCCCTGACTCAAAAGTTCAGCCTTCAAACTACAATTCAAAATCGTTTTCCTTGATCGGTGTAAAAATTCACCTCGTAATCTGGTTCTACAGGTTCTCCAAATTGCTAGTCATACAAGTCTTATTCAAGGTCTCAAGCTCTCTTGCAATCTGAACGCTTTATGTAATCTTTTATCTATCTTTATACATGGAAAAATTGGGTGCCGATTTTTTTTGAAAAAAGAGAAATTCTGCACAAAAACCACAAAAAAATCAATTCTCTTGCCATGATACTAAAACCTTGTATCTTAAAATCTTACAACTTTTTACCTCACCTTATTTACTGTATTCGGTATCTCACTACATAAAAAAATTGGGCTCGGAATGATTTTGAAAGTTACCATCTGAAACTTAGAAATCTATTAAAAATATCTTAACACATAGGATGGAGACCGGGAAGTCTATTCCTCAAATTCTCCTTGTTGAGATCATGAATAGCAGTGTAGTTACTTTTTTATATGGTTTGAAGGAATTCCATGGTGCTCAGAGTATTATGTCCCTACTTCTTGAGCAAGCACCGAAACATGTATGGAGTCATTAATTATTCTTGTGAAACCATAAAATCGTGGTAAATAATGGGCAATTTAAGCGGATGTAACAATTTTGATTTTAAATTGAAATTTTCTTTAAAATTTTTGAGAGAAAACGACTGACGTCGACTGTCCTATTCTCACAAACTTGTATGGCTTTAACGTGCCATACTTAAGCTATTTTATTCATATTTTAGTGTCATATTTTAGCTGAAAAACTTGAGAAGAAATAACAAGCTGATTCGATTCAATGTGGTTTCACTGTTCAGGACTCGAGGCTTAATTTTCCCGATAAGTTGTTTTCGGCTCCCTGACTCAAAAGTTCAGCCTTCAAACTACAATTCAAAATCGTTTTCCTTGATCGGTGTAAAAATTCACCTCGTAATCTGGTTCTACAGGTTCTCCAAAATGCTAGTCATACAAGTCTTATTCAAGGTCTCAAGCTCTCTTGCAATCTGAACGCTTTATGTAATCTTTTATCTATCTTTATACATGGAAAAATTGGGTGCCGATTTTTTTTGAAAAAAGAGAAATTCTGCACAAAAACCACAAAAAAATCAATTCTCTTGCCATGATACTAAAACCTTGTATCTTAAAATCTTACAACTTTTTACCTCACCTTATTTACTGTATTCGGTATCTCACTACATAAAAAAATTGGGCTCGGAATGATTTTGAAAGTTACCATCTGAAACTTAGAAATCTATTAAAAATATCTTAACACATAGGATGGAGACCGGGAAGTCTATTCCTCAAATTCTCCTTGTTGAGATCATGAATAGCAGTGTAGTTACTTTTTTATATGGTTTGAAGGAATTCCATGGTGCTCAGAGTATTATGTCCCTACTTCTTGAGCAAGCACCGAAACATGTATGGAGTCATTAATTATTCTTGTGAAACCATAAAATCGTGGTAAATAATGGGCAATTTAAGCGGATGTAACAATTTTGATTTTAAATTGAAATTTTCTTAAAAGTTTTTGAGAGAAAACGACTGACGTCGACTGTCCTATTCTCACAAACTTGTATGGCTTTAACGTGCCATACTTAAGCTATTTTATTCATATTTTAGTGTCATATTTTAGCTGAAAAACTTGAGAAGAAATAACAAGCTGATTCGATTCAATGTGGTTTCACTGTTCAGGACTCGAGGCTTAATTTTCCCGATAAGTTGTTTTCGGCTCCCTGACTCAAAAGTTCAGCCTTCAAACTACAATTCAAAATCGTTTTCCTTGATCGGTGTAAAAATTCACCTCGTAATCTGGTTCTACAGGTTCTCCAAATTGCTAGTCATACAAGTCTTATTCAAGGTCTCAAGCTCTCTTGCAATCTGAACGCTTTATGTAATCTTTTATCTATCTTTATACATGGAAAAATTGGGTGCCGATTTTTTTTGAAAAAAGAGAAATTCTGCACAAAAACCACAAAAAAATCAATTCTCTTGCCATGATACTAAAACCTTGTATCTTAAAATCTTACAACTTTTTACCTCACCTTATTTACTGTATTCGGTATCTCACTACATAAGAAAATTGGGCTCGGAATGATTTTGAAAGTTACCATCTGAAACTTAGAAATCTATTAAAAATATCTTAACACATAGGATGGAGACCGGGAAGTCTATTCCTCAAATTCTCCTTGTTGAGATCATGAATAGCAGTGTAGTTACTTTTTTATATGGTTTGAAGGAATTCCATGGTGCTCAGAGTATTATGTCCCTACTTCTTGAGCAAGCACCGAAACATGTATGGAGTCATTAATTATTCTTGTGAAACCATAAAATCGTGGTAACTAATGGGCAATTTAAGCGGATGTAACAATTTTGAATTTAAATTGAAATTTTCTTAAAAATTTTTGAGAGAAAACGACTGACGTCGACTGTCCTATTCTCACAAACTTGTATGGCTTTAACGTGCCATACTTAAGCTATTTTATTCATATTTTAGTGTCATATTTTAGCTGAAAAACTTGAGAAGAAATAACAAGCTGATTCGATTCAATGTGGTTTCACTGTTCAGGACTCGAGGCTTAATTTTCCCGATAAGTTGTTTTCGGCTCCCTGACTCAAAAGTTCAGCCTTCAAACTACAATTCAAAATCGTTTTCCTTGATCGGTGTAAAAATTCACCTCGTAATCTGGTTCTACAGGTTCTCCAAAATGCTAGTCATACAAGTCTTATTCAAGGTCTCAAGCTCTCTTGCAATCTGAACGCTTTATGTAATCTTTTATCTATCTTTATACATGGAAAAATTGGGTGCCGATTTTTTTTGAAAAAAGAGAAATTCTGCACAAAAACCACAAAAAAATCAATTCTCTTGCCATGATACTAAAACCTTGTATCTTAAAATCTTACAACTTTTTACCTCACCTTATTTACTGTATTCGGTATCTCACTACATAAAAAAATTGGGCTCGGAATGATTTTGAAAGTTACCATCTGAAACTTAGAAATCTATTAAAAATATCTTAACACATAGGATGGAGACCGGGAAGTCTATTCCTCATCTTCTCCTTGTTCTTTTGAGATCATGAAATTCAGTGTAGTTACTTTTTTATATGGTTTGAAGGAATTCCATGGTGCTCAGAGTGTTATGTCCCTACTTCTTGAGCAAGCACTTAAACATGTTTGGAGTAATTAATTATTTTTGAGAAACCATAAAATCGTGTAAATAATGGGCAATTTAGGCGGATGTACCGATTTTGATTTTAAATTGAGATTTTCTTAAAAGTTTTTGAGAGAAAACGACTGACGTCGACTGTCCTATTCTCACAAACTTGTATGGCTTCAACGTGCCATACTTAAGCTATTTTATTCCGTCAGTGTCATATTTTAGCTGAAAAACGTGAGAAGAAAAAACAAGCTGATTCGACTCAAGGTGGTTTCACTGTTCAGGACTCGAGGCTTACTTTTCCCGATGAGTTGTTTTCGGCTCCCTGACTCAAAATTTCAGCATTCAAACTACAATTCAAAATCGTTTTCCATGATCGATGTAAAAATTCGCCTCGTAATCTGGTTCTAGAGGTTCTCAAATTTGTTATTCATACAAATCTTATTCAAGGTCTCAAGCTCTCTTGCAGTCTGAACGCTTTATGAAAATTATAACTCGCTTTTTTTCATACTATGAAATTGTTTGACCGTTAGTTCATATTTGTGTTTTTGTGTTTGTGTTTTTGCTTGCCTGGTAAAAACCCATAATTATCTCAAAACGAAGAATGATTTGAAAAAACCCAAAAAAAAACATTGCGATATGAAATTATTAATAAGCTATTTTATTAATATAGTGAAATTATTATTTTTTCTTTTCGTAACTGGTGCAATTTTGAGTTGTTTTAGCCAATTTTAATAATTTTTGTTGTTACAATTAGACTATGTATCTATGTGACAATAATTTTCAGAAAAATTTTTTCCGCTGATTAGAAGAAAGTCTACTGCAATAATTGTGTTTTGTTCAGTTTTTATGAGCAGCCCGATTGCATTATAGACAACAATTGTAATTTTGCTTGCAAAAACGATTTTTTGGAAGAAGATATTTCAGTGCAAAATTGAATTGCGTGATTTGTTCCCGTCAGCTACATATTTCACATTTAGAGGTCAACTCAGTAGTTTTTCCTTTTCTTCCGCTCTTGATGCATTTCCGACCATAAAATATTAAAACGAAGTTGATGCACTCTGGATACGAACAGTTTTTTAAAAATTAGAAAAAAAACTTACACTGTCAAGAAAAAAAACCAGTTTAAGTTTCAGTCTAATTTCGAACGAGTAAAGCGCAGAGGAGTAAAGCGGATGAGTAAGTAAGTTGATCTTACACAAGAAATTTTTTCCTTTAAGTAAAGATAAACTTTGTTTTAGTCTATAAAAACTAATTTTAGTAGCTCCACAAAGCGCTTCCTTGGCAAAATTTTTCAAAAAATCAAAACATGTTTTTGCTATTAAATTATGAAAAAAGAAATTATGAAATTATATTTTTTTGCTAAAACTGTTTTTCAGATAACTTTTTTTAACTTTTTTTTGTGATAGAGAGCCAGCTTTCAGCGAAACAAATGCAAGAGAAACACCCGGCCAAGCAATTAACCGAGAAACGTTAGATTTTGCCATTGTGAGTTGATCTGGTAAGCTCGTTACGAAAGTTTGAATTAAACTTTGTATGAATACAAAAACAGGGCATTCCAGATGAGTCAGTGAGAAATATGGTTGTCAAAGTATATTAATGTTCAAAAAACGATACATTTTTCAACTTTTTTGACAGTTTTTGATTTTTCAGCAATGCAATAGAAACAGATGAACCAGGAAAAAAATTGGCTTCTCTTCTATCAGAAACCCCGGGTTTACTGAAAAATTTCCGCGAATTGGTTAATGAAAATCTGATGGAGAATAACAGAGCGGACGTTGACTCGATCAGAAATAAATTTGATTTAATACTGAAGTTTTTAAATGTATTTGATGCAAGAAAGAGGCATGGCCAGAATATGAACGAAAAGTGTATTCCTGTACGTAACAAAAAAACTCTTGAAAGGAACAGAAAGCGTCGTGATTTGAACAAAGAATGTCGTGAATTGAACAAAGAATGTCGTAAATTGAACAAGGAGTGTCGCCATTTGATCAATGAGAGTCCTGACTTTGACAGAGATAGCTGTGATTTGAACAAAGAGTGCCGTGATTTGAACCAAGAGTGCCGTGATTTGAACCAAGAGTGCCGTGATTTGAACAAAGAGAGTCCTGACTTGAACACAAGGAGCCTTGATTTGATTAAAGAGCGTCGCGATTTGAACAAAGAGTATCGCGATTTGAACAAAGTGTGCCGTGATTTGAACAAAGAGTGCCGTGAATTGTCTAAAAATGGTTGTGATTTGAACGAAGAGTGCCGTGATTTGAACCAATTTGATCCTGATTTGAACGACGATGATATTGATTTGAACGAAGAACGCAGTGTCTTGAGCAAAGAGTGGCATGATTTGAGCAAAGAATCTAGTGATTTCATCAAAGAGTGTGGTGATTTGAACAAAGAGTGCAGTGATTTGATCAAAAGTTGTCGTGGTTCGAACAATGAAAATCCCGATTTGAAAAAAAATAAATGCCGTGATTTAAAAGAAAAGTGCCTTGAGTTGAATAAAGAAGGTCGTTGTCTGAACAAAGACAGTATTGATTTGATCAAAGAGTGTCGCGAATTGAAGAAAGAGTGTGAAGATTTGAAGGCATTATGTGCTAGTTGCGAATTCCGGTCAACGTTCCAACTAGTGTTGTGGTGTAAGGAGAAGGTACACAATGTGAAGGGCTCTTCTAACGATGATCGGAAAACGAAAATTCCCCGTTCCTGGAAAGATATCGTGAAAGAACTCAAAACTACGCTAGGATTAGATTGTACGGAGATTTGCCAGATTCTCGACTGCCCAAATACTACAAACATCGTGGGAGGACATATGGAAAAACATATTGAAGATCCTTACTGGTATATTCTACCAATTTGCAACACTCATAACCAGAGAGACACGTATGATCCAGAAGGATTAGTGTTGGAAACGTCTCACGTTGTTTTTGCTGTACGAATTGAAAAGAAGAATATTGAGGCACAAGAAAAAAAGGCGTGTAAATTTTGTGGAAAACTATTGGCAAAAAGTTACATATGCGAGCACGAGAAGAATTATTGCCCAAAAATCCGAAGCAGCAACCAGTAAGCAAAACTATATGAAGTCAAGCTCTATGAAAACGAATTTCACATGGACACGATAAAAACGAAATCTAACGAGTTTTCTGTACATTGGAACCAGTTCAAAACAAGGACTTTAACGATCCCTTAATAATCATCACTATGAAATATTTAGAACTAACCAATCATGAGCCATTACCAAAACTTATGATAATTTTTATAGCTGAAGTAATTTGTAGCTTCAGCCAGAGAAAAAACAAATTAACTTAGAAAGCAGTTGCTCTTTCTCCCTTCTAACCTCGCAAGGTTACCAGTATACACTAGATCTGTTGAAACTAGAAAAAAATAAGAGTTAAATTAGGATCGGGATTAGACTTAGAAGTTGCACGAATCTATCCGGCAGAAGACTAGATGTTGGACAAACCGACGTGTACCTTATTCAAAATTACTTTTTAGAAGGCTACCCTGAACCTAAACTCATATGATGTGATGGTCCGAGCCTCAAGCGTACCTATTTTGATTTACATTGAGAAAAACCTATATTTAGAAAAAAATCAAAACATGTTGCAACAAATCGAAAAGTAAATAGCTTATTTCCACGTCTCAATAGGTCCAATCAAGCCAAACCAATGCTAAAGATGAAACCCGGCCATAACAAAGACGACAAACCAGACACCTGCATCGCAAAGCGAAAAAACAGACGGCAATTATCAAATTTCAAATCTATTGGAGTGGTAAATTTTCTTAAAGTACTTTATGAACTGCAAAAATTAGAGAGCCAAACTTAATAAGCCGTATATTGTTACCACTACCAAAAATGATTTTTAAACATCAACAGCCAGTCAACAAACAAAACCATTTCTACCTCAAAAATTTAAATCTGCAGTATATGTTATAGAAAGCATTTTTTGTTTTAGATTATGAAGTCAAGAAAATACATAAATACAAAAAAATGAGTTAGCGGAACCGTCTTATATAAATGTTTAACTAAAAAGTTGACAGCACCTTGCTTCTCGAGGGTCATTCTTGTTAATGTTCGTTTTCGCCTAAGACATCAGGGGTTTTAAATAACTGAATTAGTTACAAAACAAGACCAATAAAATTTAAACCCTTTTTAAACCAATTACTTACTTCAATGTTTTAAAATAAAAAGTTGTAATTGCTCCTAAAATTGAAATATCAGTTTGAACTTTAATTTCAATTGATTCATTTAATCAGATTAATAACCTTTCCTTTTGATCTCAAAGTTTTAATCTTCAATCGGTATTTCTATTTTTTAAGAAGAATTCAGATCATCAATGTTTTCCTTGGATCAGTTTTATATTTCAACCTCACCTCTTAGTCTAAGTGTCTAATGATCTCACACGTCGATTCACGCTCAAATCTTTACAAACAACCCATGACTAGCTGAAATTGTTCCTCAAAAAATTAGCCTTTAAAAGTAGGCTAAACAGAGAAGAGTTTCGGTTAGTCATCCTTAACTTCAAACCCACATTTTAACTGACCCAGGCGTAAAAAAATCTAAGAACTAGTCAATATTAATTTAGTATCTAACTATCTTCCTTTGTTCTTATTTTACCTAAGCCTTGTGGATTGATTTACTATTCTCCAACTCTCGAACTCATGGCGATCCCATTTTAACTAAGGTTAAGATTAAGTAAATTTTGAAAACGCCACATACAATTGAGAGCAGCAAGGCATCATTATATTGAATTGATATACATTCTCCCCAACCCGTCTTGTCATGACAATACGACTCGAGGATGTAGGATAATCTCACAAAGAATAAGAATTAACAATTTAGGAAATAATAAATGACACAAGTTTTTTTGAATCAATCTTTCTAACACTTATGTCAACAGATTTATTTAGGAAACAAATAAACATGAATTCTACACAATTGTTCTAATTTAAGATTCTAGATACGACTTTGTCATAACATCATACTAGCAAAAAAAGGATATATTAGATCATAAAGCAAACAAAAAAGAAGACTACTAATTCCAAACAAAACAAATAAAAACTCGATTATCCAGAAAACCAAACGCTCTTTCTGAAACCAATCTGAAATTTATTCAAATTCTCGAAAACCTCCGCGATCTATGAAACCAATTTCTGAATCACAAGCTACAGCAGGATCACCTATAAAAGGTAAACATGAAAAAAGCACTTATAACAGAAAACCAGCACGAACATATAAATAGAATTAACCTACCAGACATTATGAAAATACCACAGTTGACAAAAAGACCGCACAATTGATGATTCCATATGACGACTTTTTTGCAAGACGACTTTTTTGCAAGACGACTACATCCTTAAACTCGTCCTCGACCCATCAGTGACCCATCACGAGGACAATACGGTTTGGTCAAAATCTAGTTATAATTTTAAATCGAGGAGGCCATATTCCATGCCAATCAGATTTTCCAGGATTCAGAATTAAACGGCAGATATTAGATCGCTATTTACACAGCATCTGTAAAACAAACTCACAAAATTTCTTATTTTTTTTGAAATTTCGTCACCTGATTCAAACAATAAAACACCCCCGCATCGAAAAGAAACTGATGACATAGAACTCCACTTCTCAAGTGTTTTTGTAGAATCTATTGAATGTACCCAAAATCCAATTTGACAAGGAGCAAATGAATGATCACTATTGATATTAACTAAGTTATCTATATTTTTTTTTTTATTGGTTAAAGATGTAACATTCTCAACAATCAGCAGTGAGAGCAGAAATAACTCTGTTTTCGCAATTCTTAAAACCAATCCGCAAAAAACTCACTGATAACGAATTCTTACAATTAAAAAACAATGAATTACAAAAAAGCATAGTTTATAATAGATTAAATTCAATACAATCTCGTACTAATTGACTACAATCACCACAATCTCGAAAACAATTTCGCTTATTCTGCGACAAAGACACAACCTTAGCAGATGGAACCGATTACGTGTGGTATCAAGAAAGATATTATAAAATGTTCACTAAAATGTCAAATTAAGTTTAAAGCTCAGCTATATATCATGTAAATTTTGCTTTTTTTTCAGTACAAACAGACAGACTATATCAGTGTAACTCTCATAACAACAGATAAAACACTTTTAAATCATAGTACGATGTTTCACTATAGGACAGTTGATACTACCTTTGTTTCATCGTGTTTTAGCAAACAATAAAATTTCAAGTGAACTTCAAGGTTGAACCATCAAGTCATTCAAACTCCATCACATTTAACTAAAAAGGAAATTGTCAAAACACTACTAGCAGCAACACAACAAAGTATATCACCTAATCAATCAACAATTACATTGCCACATTATGAAAACAAAAATCCGTTCCCACAAACAACATTGCAATCAACAATTCAACCAACCTTTGTTCCCAAAAAAGCACCTATGGATTATCGAACAAATAGGCCATAAACCAAGAAACGTTCTGTAGAAAAAGTTTAATTAAACGAAAAAGAAAATGTTTTCTAAATGACAATTTTGATATTCTTTCAAATAAAAAAGTAAGTCACCCAATAGAATATCCGCTTCTAACAACGCAAACAAAATCTTAGGAAAACAATAATAATCAGCAACCACCCAAAAATTCAAATACACAATCAGTACATTTTCATGATAAAAGAAACACCCAAACAGATGGCACTGAAAATTGAAAATTTTTCTTTTTTTCAACAAAATAAACACTTTCCAACTATCGGAAAATTAACAATTTTTCCCAGAAGATGAAGAATACTTTCATCAAAATCAACAACAACGACAACAAAATAGCTCTGATCAAAGAAAACATCAATGGAATAACATCGAAAACCAGATGATATTTTTCGATCAGATATTCTTGAACCCTACAAAATGTATCAAAAAAATGAGCTACACAAATTAAATTTCTTATAAAACCAATCTTTACGCCGCCAAGTCAAGGAATACTGAAGTTTACAAATGAGATTTATTGAGAAATGAAATCCCATTAAGATCTTACTTAACAACAACACGAGACTAGTCGAAAACAACCTACAAATTTTACTAAGATAACTCTTACCTGCAGAACCACATCAATACAAAACGAATCCTTCGATCATGGTTGGATCATCTATCACATCAAACAAACCACTAAGTCTTTTCACAGGAACAGACCCTGAATACACTGTCGAAGACTAATTGAACTCTTTAACAGCCAACCTGATATTAAACATAGGCGTAGAACCTATAAATGTACCCCTCCATCAAAATTGCATTGACAGACGTATAGCACTGAAACAGACCATTTTTGACGGTTCAGTTCAGAAAAAGTTTTTAGTTATTTAGATAGAAATTAGGTCAAATTGGAAACGTTTCACCCAAGAATTCTACAAAATGTTTGATTCATAAAAAAACAATTATTCTCAAAAAAATTTTTGTTACGAAGTTTGTAGGCTCCAGAATGAAATAATTTTTGGTGAGAAGAGGTTTTTTGTTATAGAAAGCACTTTTTCTGAACACACACGGTTACAAAAACAAATAAATGACAGAAATTCTAATTATAATTCTAATTAAAATTGTGAGAAAAAAGCAATAAAGAAAAAAACATCGCATCATTCGACAATTCGATGCCTTGTTATAGATTTTCGCACACTTGTAGAAACAAGTAAAAAATACACGATTCAGATAGCAAATTCCGAGGAAAAACTAACTCAGTTACCAAACATATTCGAAAAGAACCCGTTTTTGAAGAAAAACGTTTATTTAAAAAAAGGTGTAACTATTGTTAAATATACGGACACACTAAACACGGATGTAGACAAGACAACAAGACACGGGTTCAACAAGACAAGTCAAACAGACCACTAAAACAAGAAGCAGCAATTATCGCAACAGAAACTCATTACGCAACAGAACTAGAAACTACTCAAATAAAAATTCAAATAACAGAAACTCTAATTACAGATTAAGTGGAACTTATAACAATAGGAATAGCAATAGGTGTATTTATAATTATAGATCACGTGAAAATTCAATTTTTTATAGGAATAGGAA